CTTGCGCTTTCAGGAAGCGTTATTTAGGGTACCGACCTTTCGTTTTATACTTAGAACAAGTACGAGTTTAGCGGATCGCAATCCGCTCACTCCAACAGTAGTTATTGACTTGATTTATTTTTATCTGCGGCAAAGCCGCCTAGCTTTAGATGTATAGAATTTTCTAAATATATATAGTAAAGTCTAAATACATGCATAATTACTGGCTGTCCAGCCACGTACCGTATTCTAATTTGGGTGCAGTCACACCATGCCCATCTCGTGTGACACACACCTGTTACCAGTGTACGTGTATCCCGTTACAGCTAGTGCTCACAATCAAATATGCTTGTTCGATGTTGGGACGAGTCTTGAGATTCGTACCCCGACGGCATTTCACGTGCGGAGCGTACCCAACGTACACGTGATACTATTGTTGAAGAAGGATCAGCAGTACCGCGGTGAAAGGCCACCATGAAATATCATAGTTAGTATTTCAAAATTAAAAACGAAGTTATGAGTCGCTGAAAAGAAGAGATCTGCTGGGCACGCCATGTGCATCAAAACAATCTCAAAATCGTAAGAAGAATCAACTCGGTGTCAATTTAAAATAGCTTTAATCTTACAGGAGCTACTGCATAGTACTGTGTAGTCGGTTGAGGCAGCTATTTGTTCCATTCTCGGTGCACTTTTGCCGCGATCATCGCAAGTCAGAGCTTTGTCCCTGCACTCGTCTGCAGCATACGGAGGAGAGTTGATAGCCTATAATTCTCGCGGAGTAGATTGTAGCTCTGTAATGAATACATATTGTCGTCGCTGCTCCATCAGCTCATTCTCTGACTTAAATAAACGCCTTTTGCTCTCTTTAATTGTTCAGCTAAGGCGAGCTCGCGTTATTTTCATCAGAGCAGTGTGGTCATCAAAAATGTGCAATACCAAGTAAAAGAGGCCAAATTTTGGGGATGCTAAATCGTGTTGTGATCTAATGTTCAGACGATTCCAGTTGTACAGAAAGCATAAGCCAATTACAAGCATCTCCGGCTTTTCAACATGGTCACCAATTGTTCATCCATCAGCTTGAAAGCCAAGCATTAATCAGGGTAGAACATATCGGGGTTTTGTGTGACCGGAATGTGGTTCATTTAGAAGATCATCTAAAAGAATTTAGAGTGTTACCCACAAGATTTGAGGGATCTTCAGAAAAGAGGAATGCAATGTCGATTAAGAAATGATGTATGAAACATAATTAATGTTGAGTCAACTCAACAGCAAATGGATTCAGGTTTTATTCAAGTATTGCGAGCGTGCATCAATTTTACAACATGATGGATACTAGCGATTTGGTTAGCTGTTGTCTTGGCAGGCGGCATTGCTGCTGTCCTCGACGTCAAAAGAACTGACGGGAACATTGCTCACCGTTGCACTGATCATACTTTAAACAAGCGGTTAGTTGACTTAAGCATGCGTATTCAATTTCAAGCTCCATTTGGATAGCTTGACGTGTGACAAGACCTTGCCTAGACAAGACCTTCACACGTAGCGGGCGTCCTGTCAAGTGAAGAATCCTATTTCAAACGCAGCGAGATGAAGCGATTGGAATACTGCTGCGTCGTCACTCGCGCGGACGTGTAGATTGAGGCTAGGTGACTTATGCGCAAGCGGGAAGGTCACGTTTCTTTATGAACGCAAATGTGCTAGTCATAGTACCAGTATATGTATCCAGGATTTGTAAAAAAAAATCCTCACTAATCGAGATAAATGTTTTTTTTAACATGACGAAGAACCCGTAACTCTTCGTCATGTTTTTATCAAAATAATATACTAGCAAAAGAGGAAGCAGAGCCGAGGACAAAGCACCAGAAGTTGGCTTCATGTCTTTTCTGACAAGAAAGTATAACAATCAAGAGCACCATTGCCAACGATTCAAAAATGATGGATAAAATATGCATAATTAACAGCTCGTAGTTAACGACACTTTCTTAATAAGGGACAAGACACGACGAGTCTAACGACGACGGTGTCGGTTAAATCGAAGGTAGAGTACGCCGATGACGAGAATCTGAAGTACAACCGAATAAGCAGCGAGAATGATCATATTCTTGACAACGTCAACTTGATCCATGCCGTATCGTTTGAGCAAATCCCACGCTTCCTCCGTGTTGACAGCAGAAAAGTGTTCATACATAAACGACTCGAACGAGTATGTATGAAAGGCAATGTAGTAACCCCATTTCCAATACGCAGGCATGTCGTCAAATGGAACCATAAATCCTTCACACAGCATAAACATCCCAAAGAGACCAGCCCCCAATGCAATCCCCATAATATAATGAGGCACAGCAGCACCAAGTAAGTGCATCAATGACTCGGCAGCAATTAGCGATAGAGTCAGATTTAGTAGAAACGTTGGAAGTGAATATACACGAGCAAGGAAGACGACAATTGTCGATGCCAAGACTGAGATAAGCAAGATACCAGGTAATGACGCGAGGAGATTCGACATAGTGTACCCGGTTAAGGACAAAGCATACGATCGCATCTCTCGCTCCATAACAGCACGATGTTCCAGTAATGCAGGAAGGGCAGCAACCGACATGAAAACGAGAAAAGCTTGAACGTAAAATAGCAGCGAAACCATCGACATGTTGGTAATTTCTCGATTTGAACTCAAGTACATTGTACCCACCATAAGTGACAGAAGAACGTACATCATGACACGAAGCCAGAAAACACCTGGATGTCGCCAATTATTCGTTAAATTTCGTTTAACAAGAACGATTGCTTGATCCAAGGGCCATGGTCGCATAGCTTTTAATAATTCTGGATTCATCAATTGATCACGACGTGAACGATCACGAACCACATCAGCTCGAAGACGCTGTGGTTCAGCACTTTCTTTAAGAGCTCGAATAAATGGTTCAAGTTTTAATCCATCGTGAAAATTTGTGTTGACCAAATGGACAAAATATTCGGCTGGATTCGTATACATGGGACATACGTAACCCATAGAGAAAAAGTGTGCGATTGCTGCATTTGTTGGACCACTGTATACAAGTTCGCCACTACTGAGGATAATGAGATTTGTTAACATGCCGTATATAGAGGAAGAGGGTTGATGGATTGTACATACGACATTCTTACCACCTTCTTGACACAAACGTTCGATATATTGCATGACACCACGGGCTGAGGACGAATCGAGTCCGGAAGTTGGTTCGTCCAGTAGCAAGAGTGCAGGATCAGAGAGCAACTCTAATGCAATTCCTAGACGTTTGCGCTGACCTGATGAAATTCCTTTATGAAAAATATCACCCACACGAGCGTTTGAACACGATCGTAATCCCATAGCATCAATGACATCCTGGACACGAGCTTCCCGCTGAACGGGAGGCATGTGACCCGGTAAACTTAATCCTGCACCAATTTGTAGTGTTTCAAGCACCGTAAAGGCGCCTAAAAATGCCATTTCTTCCGAAACGTAGTTCATAATCGAGTGAAAAGTTCGAAGGTCTCGTGGCTGGCCATTTACCTCCACGAGTCCTTCGAGATGAACGCCTGAACCACCAGATGGCACTCGGTCAGCAAGCATATCAAGTAGTGTTGTCTTTCCGGCACCCGATGGGCCTAAAATCGCTGTCAACTCTCCTGGTCCGGAACGTCCCCAAACACTGTTGAGAATTTTTCGAGGTTGTTGACGCTCAAACTGCGCCTCAAGTCCGGATGGACCTGACACGCGCTTCGAATTTTTCTTACGGAATCGACTAAAGATATTTTCTTTAGGCTGAATGAAGTAGGAAATGTGCTGCCAACTGATTGAACATGTCTGTAAAGCTGCACGTTGTCGGAACCCTTCGGTCGACAATTGCGACACGCTGTCGAAAAGCGCGACCTTGGGCTTACTTGGCATATCGCTGCTACTAAACGCATTTGGTGCTGGTCCTTTCACAGTTTCGAGATTTTCGAACGACGTACCAGGTGACACTAAACCTCGCTGACTTATTGGCACACGACTGCGTTCAAACTCGCTGCGCATGGACGCACCAAGTACTGCTGTGGTTTCCATCTCGTCAGAGGTAAGAGCGTTTTGATTGGAAGTCGGAAGCAGTTGTCGCGCGTTTGGTCTGCTATCCGATTGCATTGCCCACGACCTACGAAGAGGGTTCGATGTATTTTGATTGAGTCGACAACGGAGACTTCGTATTCTTTTTGTTTGTGAGAGTTCCTGGAAAGCCTCGTGGTAAAAATAAGCCTCGTCTGTAGCCGACAGATGCTTGGAAAGTACAGGGTTCAACGTCGTGTCGATCGTCCTCGAGTCTCTCTCACGATCCATATTGAGTTAAACCTCATGAGATTGAGCCGATTTAACGACGATGGCGTTGTGGGAGAAGCGTGTCGACACATGATACATGGAGGACAGTTTAGCCGTAACCTTACGAAGTGGAAGGGCACTTTTGTGGCCGAGAGAAGTGTGATCGATACATCCTGCAATTGTTTTCATTGATTCAAACATAACATATCTGTCAAAGCTCTTGCGACAGTTTTTCCGACCACAGGGAAGAGGGATACATGTATAATACTAGCAGCCAAACGATTTAGGATGATAACGAAAAGGATGAAAAAAAAATTTAGACAGTGATGGTAAAAACACATATTAAATGCATTGGAAACAAAAAGTCTCGAATTATGAGGCTGGTTTCGTGCACTTACAATGTATTTCTTAAAGTCAAGTTATTTGAGACTCTACGATTCATCTACATAGTTTGAACTGAGCTTCAAGTGTTTGAGAAGGAACGAAAGACTACGTCAAGATTGACTTGATGTCAGTAATTTAAACTACAATGTTCTTTACCTACGATGCAAGTTCGCAAGAAATGGCAAAGTCAACAATTTTCAATCACGATTTGGCTAGATGCATCTTGGATTTGTCAATATTTATAGTAATCGAGCCTATATTGTATGTCCATCGCACCAGTTTAGGACACAAGTATCACGTTAGAAAGTTTCAAAAATTTCAATAACTAAGCAAAAAGTGCGGCCCAGGCTACCTAATGGTACTCATGGCCACATGACGCATAGTCGTGTTTTTAAAGCGGTTAAGACTAGCAAAACATTGAGTTGTTGATGGTAACCGTTTCAACAACTCGATAGAAAGAGATATTAACAACTCGATAGAAAGAGAAATTCCATTAGAGGCGGCAATATTCAGCTATAAAGTCAGAAATTATAGTGTGTCAATGTATCAAGTGGTAGAGAGCATGGATGTATCGGCTGCTATTTTCTAGCTCGACGTTTCTGAAATTCAAGTCAGCATATGCCGTAAAAGCAGGTTTACATTTTCAGACTCATATTTTTTTCAGCGCTACCTTATCAGGGGTGAGTAGCCAGATGGCCACGGCGAGCAATATGCTAAGCGCTCGCCTAAGGCTCCTCTCTCCTTCATAGAGCCTCGTTTTATTCAATACGGAAGAATTGTCTTCCACACCGTTTTGTACGATACAGATGGTGAGGTCTCGTACATCTTTAAAAGTTATGCTGTATAGAGATGCTTTTGGAGGACCCAACATAGATTGATGCTGTCAAAGTAGTAGCAAGAATAAGATCAAATCTTGTTCTAACAAATTGTTCCATAAATGCAAGATCGAACTTCGGCAAAGTTCTTTGCGATAAAGCGTTTAGTTACGTGCTTCACCTCACCTGACCTATCAAAGTAGCTTTAAATTTGCTAAAGTTTACTAAAAACGTCAATCTATAATTTACTGACTGAAAGCCTGCAGAGCCGAATGCAAGAGCTAACGTCTCAATCAGAATGACTATATCTGTCTACTATTATTAAAGACAAACTTACTTATCACAATGTCCACCAGCATAAAACAACACCATATTACCTGGTTGTGCTTTATTCGTGGACATATTGTCAAATTGAGAGAATAACCAATTGCTGGCAAAAACAGTTCTCTTCAAAAGTAGCTGCACTATCCAAATTTGGGTATTTTAAGAGATGTGTTTTATTAACAAATCAGGCTAGTGAATGGAAGGCACTGGTTAAGAAAGTTCGTTTGCTCGTCATGAAGGATGCTGATGGTAAAATACTTTTTGAGAGAAGCTTTGAGAGAATCATAATTTACCATTCACATCCCTTCATAACGAACAAGTTCGTCAAACTGATGTAATTTGAATCTTCAAGAAACGAAGATCGCTTGAACAATCTGGTGGTCTCACATATACGGCTACTTCGTTGCAACGAAGCCTGACATGTATTAAAATTCTAAAAGAAGATTACACAGATCCGGAGCGTTCCTTGTCGTCGTGTGGAAGAGCGACCCGATAAAAATTTTCCCGAATACTATAAGCAGTGACTGGTCTATGATAACGCATCTGGTAGTGACTGGGGTATGTAACGTGTACATTCAGATTTTGAAATCATCTTTATCTAAGGTCAACAAAATGAAAGACCCATTTTTTTAAAATCGATAATTTTTCTTGATTAGCTCGAGAACGATCAATTCACCTTTTTTTCAGTGTGCCTCCTGTATTCGCTGCCGCGCGAGTTCGCTATTATTGCTCGTGAGATCTAAAATTATGTAAGCATAAGTACAAATAAACTTGATCCGAATATACATGCGCATTGCGGTCAAAATGCACCCCTTAAATTGAAGCTGCCCCGAGCATTTATCGTTGTGAGTCATGAGTTTCTCTACAAGAAGCGTCCAAAACGAAAAGCTCAAATAAACTCGACCACTTCTTGTTGACAGCATCAATATTTTCTGCTTTTGGGTCTTCCATTGTACGATAGAGCATTCAAACTACACCATTTACAATATTGTTTGCATAATCAATTACAAGTAAACGATATATCACAATTATTTTTGCGAGTCGCAATTAAAAAAAATTACTTAATTTGTGAATCGCGCTAATAAATGTAAGGATCAAATCCCAGCCTTAGGCTACAGATGAAATCGTCATCCTTACTGCGCAAAATTTTCATACCAGTACTGCTAAGACAAATGCTTGTGACGTAGCACATTCTTAGTCTACCGTAACAGCTTGATGCTCATTAGCTTCTTTTTTCTCTCCAATGCTTGCTACCGAACGCATCCATTATGTCGGTCCTTAATGACAGTAAAATTGAAATTTCATGTAAAATTCATCAATAATTCTTGCCTAAGCATGGTAATTGGAGACTGTAAGACTTCGCATACGATCTGCATCTTCCAGCCAGAAACGTAGCAGTATATTTTACAGATTGCCTGCTCAAGTGGATGCAATAAATGTATCCGACCAAATAGATCTTGCTCATGGGTCAATATGGCGGCCGAGTGGTCAGCCATAGGCAAACTTTTTTGTATAGTAGTGTCAGTAGACCAGCGTGTTGAGCATGGGTAGCTGATCTATAGTTTGACCGTTGGTGTGCTAGTCCATAGCGTGATTCGCCGTGACGTTAATATTTCGTTGGACACACGGCGGTGATGCGAACAGGAGTGAATCTCACTTTGGTCGGTCGATTGCTGGCTGACTGTGTATAACCGACGAAGCCGTATATTATTTGGTCGTCGATAACTGCGCATCTGACGTACGTTGAATGCTTGTCTCCAATAACAGCGAAAGTAGACCATGAATTTCGCGAACTCGTTTGGGCACCATTAAGAGGCCGTAGTATTCGACTTGATTGTTGATGGTGGAAGGATGCGCATAGCATACGGTGAAGCTGCAGACAACATCGGCCTTTGCGGTTTGACAGTCAGCACATACAACAAAGGATCCGGGATCCCTGGGGCAAGGACTCTCGTATGAGCCGTTATCGAAATACAAAGAGTTCGTCGCATCCGGTCCAGGAGTTGAAGGATCTGACTAAGCGGCAGTCGCATCAAAGGGATGTCGTCGTTTTTGAACCACGTGTCCGATGGCCTTGTAACCGGCATGCTCATACGTCAGGCGACGGGCGACGGTGTCTGGATCTCGTTATATCTCCAATTGATGGAAATCATGGGCTTGATTTTATGTCCTCTGGTGATCGATCTTGAAAGTGCTCCGACGCCAAGCGATAGTTGTGACCATAGTATCTAACACAACCTGTTGTCACGCGATCTGGGGCGCGGGAAAGGATATGCCCGCGCGATTTTGGTGTTCTCATGTTGATACTGTCAGAAAGAGGTAAGCTTTAAGGTGCTTGTTGATCAAAGCGAAGCAGATCGATGAATTGATTAAATGATGCCCATAAGGATACACCCGATAACCGCTGTAATAAGATCAAAGGCCGTGCATCAACGTTGCGTGGTGGTGGTACTTAGGAAGAGAAGCTTAAAGTGCGAACTTTGGTTTCGGAAGACCTTCCATATACATGACAGCTGACGCCACAATGGCCATCATCGGAGCTCATCTGTGCTAGTTGCCGCTGACCAGGGTACTATGCTATGCGTAAATGTAAAAGGAGCGTTCCGCAGCTTCAACTCGTTAACGACCCGGTGTAGTCCGGTCGCAACTTAATCTTATCAGCCGCAAACTCTGCATGCGAAGGTGGTAAGCAACACGTGATAACTAATCCCCCATTGGATGTTCATATGCATTCGCTTGCCAATAGCATCGGCAAATCACTTTGTAAATTTTGACATGCGACCTTGGCGTCACAGACTCGGCGCATGACGCTCGGTCCCGTAGAACTGAATCTGTGACTTTGCTATCAAACTGCATCATCAGTCGCTCTCCCAACGGTACCGGTGTAAATTCTTTGTTAAATCAGATCATTGTGGGGCTGAATCAGACCATTCATAAAAATTGAGTAAAGCGTGCAGAGTCATGCGTTGCGTTATTCATTGCAAGTGAAAGCAATCTCTTGGGCACCGCGATCTCGGTTTAATAGCGCTTTAAAGAATATACCCCACCATGTGACAAAAGTGTTCTACCTGACCATATATACGCGGATAGCCAGTGCTTAACATGTTCACATCAGTGCTTTGCACGTTGAGTACAGTATTTCTAAATTTATTTGATGGAAAGCGCGACTTCCTTTCGGCTACTGACAAGTCATGTTGTGAACATTTTGTCACGGTACAGCATGAATGCATCCAACCAGTCACGATATCGTCAAATTAACGTAAGACAACGACGAATGGGCGCGAATTGAACAATTGACGCTGGCAAGCATACGTTATTACCTCCTGATACATGTCTGTCAGCCAGTACATAGCAGTCACTGGGTAGTATGGAAATCATTTCTGAAAAGGCACCTTAAGAGATGCCACGTGTTTTGTTGGGCATTCTGTCTTTTAACTATTTTGCGGTACCACCACACGTTGCGTATCAAGAAGACCAATGTTGTTAGACAGTAAGTCC